ACACTGGGCTATTTAAAAGAAATGTGTTGCATTGCTCAAATTAATGTATTTCAAAGTATGTTCTCCTTCAGCAAAGCGTAAAATATTACATTTTTCATGCAATAACACGCACGTATCAACATGCGTGTTATTGCATCACACGCATTTTCCTTGCTTTTGAAAGTGAATTTGTAATAATCGTCAAAAAGCGTTACTTTTGCTATGAAATCAATTCTGTTACTAGAGCAAAAATCGGTAGCTCGATTTGCACCTAAGCATGATTAAAAAAAGGCATCATGGGCCTCAGAAAGAAAATGGAAACACGAAGCAAGGCTGGAAAACGTTCGATTATGTACTACTCAAGCCCGATCGTATGAAAAAAACAAGCAACGGAAAGCAAGACTGGAAAATATTCGAGTACGCACTACTCGATCTAGACGAACACTGCGCGCTGATTTAAATCTTAGTGCATTCGCTTACGATACTAATTATGATTACAGTCTTCATCCAAGTGTGGTCGTTGGAAATTATAGCGTATTGCAAAGCCATCAAATTTAAGAATGAAGCACCAGGAATGTTGCTATGTGGGCAGAAAAGTGAAATTGCCCGCAACAGATGGAAACAAATGTTGTGTATCCAAAAACATTTTAATAACCTTAATTAAAACATAAACACATTCTTTTCTTTAATTAACACTGCAGCGCATGCCGGGGACAATTAGCATTAAATAGCTTGCTTTTTTAATGTACGCATTTCACTATTGAATTTAGTATAAATGCAGGAGAATTGTTATAAATTTGTCTTGTTTATTCATATATTGGAGCAATGTAATAAAATATTTTCTCTAATACATAAATATAAATAATAAAAAGATCTAAAAACATTTATTTCGTGATTGATTGATGAGATTTTATCAAATGAAACACATCAGTTTATTTAATTTATGAGAAGCAATTTTATCATATTCCTTTCCAACTTAAAAACGAAAATCCATATTCCTATATATAATGTACGTAGTATACGCGGATATAATAACTATAATTTATGAGTAGCAATTTCATCTCTATGACTATATGTATGCACATATGTGTAAAATCCATAAAATATGAGAAGCAGTTTTATTATATAAGATTCCGCTTTAAAAAAGAAATTCCGTTATTTAAATTCGTAAAATTTAATGAATCTTTTAAAGCGATTTTTATAAAAGCTATCCTAAGTATTTGATAGAGTGATAAAATATCGGCTTATCTCTGATTGACATGCTATTAGTAAAATACCTTATTCTTTACAATTATTAATTCATTACTTTATATATTAACTGGTATACACATTTATGGACGACAAAACAGAGGAACTAAATGCAAATATAGCCAAGTTCTGACCCTATGTCTTTAAATATCTCAAAATGAAAGCTTTTATAGCCTAATTGTTACATTCTTACAAATAATAAAATAAATAATACATGTTTTCAATGGATATGCTGTCTGAATAATAAAATATGCAAGAATTCTCTAATTTGCTCGCAAAAATAATACGATCTGACAACACTTTTGACTAATTGTTGATCAGAAAGATTAAGGAACTTTGAATTCTTACGTTGATTTTTACTTAAATTATTTTGTAGTTAGTTTGAGTTTTTTCGAACTCGAAAAAAAATTCTGCATATATTTAAATTAATGAGCCCAAATATACAGTGTGATTCAAATTATCATTATGAATAACCGAAAAATAAATACTCTATTAAAATATTCTAAAAGTTATTTCTTTAAATTAAAAAAATACGAATTATTTGCAATATAAAACATAAATATTTGCATTATTTAAAACTTGTAACTGGAACTGAAAATCTACGCCCAACGCTTACGATATCAAAGGCTGGGGAAGCGTTTTTGTAGACATGGTGTATACATATTATTTCGGTTCATTTGATAATGAATGGTTAACAGCTATTGTCACACATTCATCATCAATTAGATTTCTTTTAATTTTAAATAATAATCACAGAATTAATGACATTTTCCACATTCAATACATAAATTAAAGTTATAAATTTTGAAACATACTTACATAAAATAGAAATACAAAATTTAAAATAAAATGCAGTTTGCATTACAAATAAAGTTCATGGAGTCCACAAAATCCAATCCAACGTTTATGAAATCGATCACACAAATAATCATCATGTCTTAAATAAGCCTTTACGCTTTATTCTCACGACATAAAATTACTCTATGTGAGCTCATAAAAAATAATGAAATTTTGAATAAGAAATAAATATAGTACTATTATATTCATATTTGTAAGTGGAATGGCAAATACGTTTCACCAATGCAGAAGTTATATATATTATTTCACAAACATAAGAACAAGATGTTTTAGCTTAATAATGAACCTTTCGAATTAAGTCACATTAGCTGCAGGAAATTGTTTCGTAAGAGACATTCCATTGTATAATGAACTAGAGTTCCAATCACCCCACAGACACAATTATCAGTAATGGTAAATCAATATTTATAGTAAAATGTTAGGATGAAATCGTATTATATTATGTTGATAACAGCGAAATCGAAACTTTACGATTTCGGTCACTTGCTGGCAGATAATTAAAATGCGTCTGTTCTGTTCACAATAATTTTATTTTTCTTGTGTTTCTTTGTAATGTTTGTTAATGAATGTACTTATATGCTTATACTCTCATGTACACTTATGTTATTATGTGCTTATAAGCTTATACGAATGTTATTAGGAGTTTTGGCAGATTCATAACAGAGTGAGTTAAATTCTTCTCCGGCATACTTGCCTTTTGAGTTGCAGTACAGTCATGAGAATTGCTTCATCCTGTATTCGGATATGCAATAAAAATTAACTTGCAAGTACAATAGCTGCAGTACGGTATGATTACGTACGCAGTAAGTAAGCAGAACGATTAGTAATATGGTAAGGAATAGCAAAAGTAAGGAAATATGGGCTTAGTAGATATTCTCTTCTGCATTGGAAATGCTCTGATAGCAGCTGTGGAACAGTCTTTTCTATCATATTACAATATAATTGTTTCTGTACATATGGGATCAAACCCAATTTTGCCCTAAAATCTTTTACTATGATATGCAATAAATTTTGTTCTTATTTCAAAATTTTCTATGTATTGTTTCCAGCTGAGCTTCTCATCCCATATTAAGGGGACATATACACCTCAAAACCCTTAGGATTTTCAAATATGTGACTGTTGCAAGAATTGGGATATCTTAAATATATTATTAAAAGCAATTACTTCCAACATTTAACAGATGACTGCACAGCTGCTTTGGGAACTAGTAACCAGAAAGTTTGTATTGCCACAAATATTTTTTATAATTTAATCTGCTTTGAGACAAAATTTTTTATGCGTTAACGTCATGTTTCCACCTTGCGGGCATGATATTTTGAAAATGGCTAATGGTAAATACTTGAATTTGATGGAATTCTTTATACGGGCACTATCTTCTAACTGAACCAAAAATCTGATGAATATTTTAATATTAAAAAAATTATGCACGAAAACATTACAATTTTTTTAAATAAAATACTTTAAAAACTCAACTCCAAATAAAATAAAAATGTAACATGAAATTCTTAGGATTTTTGTTTCACAGTAGTTTTCAAATATTATAGAAGCTATATATTAAATATGGAATTAAATTATGCAACAGAATATTTTAAACTGTGCGCGCAAGGTGAAAACATGACGTAAAGGCATAAAACATTTTGTTGCAAAGCAGATTAAGTTATAAAAATATTTTTGGAAACACAAAGTTCCTGGTTACTAGTTCAGAAAGCAGATATATTATGTAGTCAGCTGTAAAGAGTTAGAAGTATTTGCCTTTAAAATAAATAAGTTATCCCATTTCTTGCAATAGTCACATATTAGAAAATATTAAAAGTTTTTAAGGTGTATGAATCCCCTTGAATGTAAATATTAAAATGATTTAACACATTTAATTCTCTTCTCATTGAGTTTTAAAACAAGTAACTGTTTAATCTTTTCTATAGATTTACTGATGAAAAGAGCTGGATAATTTTCTTTTCAGATGGAATAAATTAATAAAAGTATTGTAATGATATTCCCTTTACTCTGCAGTGTTATCTTTACAAATAGATACGGTATCATTTGCGTAAGCTACCACAGTGAAAGGCCACTCAGCTGAAGACAGACTGTTAAAAGTAATATTCAGAAATATAGGATCAGTACAAGATCCTTGAGGGCAGCCTTTTAATTGTTTAATTTTTCTATACCATTATTATGAACAATTATCGATTCACGGTCTTTTGATGGTTCATGTCAACCTCATATAAATTTAAGAGGTGGTATGCCTCTTTAAGATGTTCATCAAAGCGTAGCAAATACATTTTAATATCTAGGCTTATCTTTTATTATCTATACAGCTCTGTGGATTCCTACTTATCTATTTTCATAAATTACTTCTTTAATTTTACCACGTGCATATAGAATCACATATCCAGTGTGAAATCCGTACTTAAGATTATTTAAATCTTTCAGTAAATATGATATTTGATGCTACTAGATATAACATTTTTCATATATTTTACCTAAATCACAAAGAGGTCAGATAGGTTGAGAACCTGAAGTAATATTCAGTTACTTCAAGTTCATAGGTTCGTAATATATAAAAAAACAAAACTTGGCCTCTTTTAAAATTTTTAGAAAATATTTTGTATTCTCAGAGTTTATTGAAAAATGTAAAGGAGAATTCAGAATGGGCCTTAGTTGCAACTTTAATTATATCGTAATCCAAGCCATCTGGATCTGGCGCCTTCGTGTCACAGAAATAATTTTTATTTTCTATAAAAATTGAATGAATAAATTTTTGGTTAATTTCAGCCCCGATAAAAGGCATATCATTAAAACAAATTTAAAATATGTTAAATGAATTACTGGGCAATGTGTAATTAATGCAACATAAATACATGGATAATATTTCAGAACTGAGGAAAGTTATTTAAATAGCTGGTAAAAAACATACTTTTTTCCCAGTAGACTTCTTCAACTGGATATCCGGCGACTGGGCACCTCACCACCAGCACATCTCCTTCCACAGCAGCAATATCCTTCATTATCCTGACAAAGGGAGGTCCAATTACGTTGATCTTCGCAGCATGGCTTAAGGAACCAATCTCATTAGTGGCTAGACATCGGTACATGCCTGCAATATAAAGAATTTCCTAACAAATGGCTGTAGTGAACAGAGTTTCCAAAGCAAAATTGATTACACAATAAAAAAAGAAAATCTAACTGTAACTTCAGATTCATTTTAATGCAGTTTGAAATGTCTTCGAGAAAATATAAAATATCTTGACTAAAATCACGTCGCTGTCCATCTGTTGCTGAAAAAACGAATAATTTATTGCTGTGAAGAGCAGCAAGCCTATAGTTTATTTAATGAAACACAAAATAACGCAGGTGTATTTTGAAAATGCTGATGATGCACGTGTTTGCTAACATGATTGTTCGTTTGATTGAGCAATAATTTTTTTTATATAATACAGTTGCTTAAAAATTTTTAAAATGTTCCAGACATAAAAATGGCATTTTAAAATTTATAGCACTAATTGTGGATGCATTTAATTTATTATTTTATACATAATACTTGTTACATAATCTGTCTGCACGCGTTCGCCTTTTTTAGGCTTCTCTCTCATAAGCTATTATTACCCTCGGCCGTACTTAGGTCCTTGATAGCTTCGCAGTCGATTAGCGTTAAAGGGCCAACTCGGTTAGAATCCTGATAGCTTCGGCCATAACTATTTTAGTTTAGATTAGTTTTAGTTTACTTCTTAGCCTCTTAAGTTCAAGTCCAAGTGTCGGCTTTTATTGTATACTCCAAGACGGAGTTCTGTGAATCTTATCTGAATAATAAAGGGTTAGTTACCCTTCCATCTTGTTGTTTTTGTCACACGAACTCAAGCGATTATTCGCTTATGAGTTGAAATTCTTCACGTTCAACTGTAACTTAGCATTTACAAAGTGGGGAACTCTACAATTTATATAAAAATCTTATTTTTAGATAAAAATAAACTGCATTTTTTGTTTTCTATAAAAATTGAATGAAGCAACTTGACGTTTAATGAATTATGAACACAATCTTTAATTTTAACAAATATGGAACTAGAATATATACAGTTGTTTATAAAACTGAGCATTCAAAACATTATTGAGTGTTTGCAGACTTCTACGCATCTATTATTCTGAATGTATATTTATAACGATATAAATACACATAATGTACAGCATATGTATTAGCAGAATAAAAGAAATGTTATTATTATCCCAAAATATTTGCATTTTTTAAAGAGTGAGCATAAAGTATTGTCCGAAAATGAAAATGATTTATAATTGTACGGAGGATACGTCCACTGCAGCTAAATTATGATGTCTTAACAACCAGGTAATTAGGTAGTGTAAATAACGAAGATAACAAAGTAGATATGTCTTAGCTGCTTGTAATTAAAAATTATAGGATTTTCATAGAGAGTAATCAGGGATAAATCATCAGTTTAGTAGGTCAAGTGCCACTCACAGGAAAGACTCACTAAACTGAGGTGATAATTGCACAATCTTTACATGGAAAGATCATGTAAACATATTAAAATACAGGAATTATGACTAACGCAGATTCTGGAGACAACTCGAAACTAGATTTTGAAAAAAAAAAAAAAAAGGTACAAGCCATATTGTAGCTACCAACCACCCAATTATTATCCGTACATTACCAGCACGGCGTGCGACTCATGTAAGAATTACAGCCGCTTCGGTTGTTTTGAAAAAAGCCTTATTCATTATTGGAGAGCAACTCTCTTACTGTTTTCGGAAATCCGAATTCATGGGTTACTGATTCCCAAATACTTAACTTACTGAGTTATGCTAGAATGAAATTTTTAGCTGTCGTCTAAAATAATATCTGCGTATCGAGGTACAGATGAGCTTTAGAATTAAGTTCCAAATTAATATTGCAAAATAAACCCAAGATTGGAGACAGCTAATCAAAGTTCGAAGTTACCTTTTCAGTTATCAGAAGAACCTTATATAATACTTTATAACTGTATAGATAAGTCTTATTTATGATTATGATGATTATGATATCGTCGAGAAAAATTTAAGAGATATGTCAAGTGGCCAAAAGACAAGGAAGGGATGCTCAGCAAATTTGGCTACGCAATTCATAATTTTCTAATGTGTCACATACGAACCAAACCCTAGAGTGACAAAAATGGCAACGTGATCATCATTAACAGTAAGTCATCTAACTAAAGAAAACGTTCTACGATTTCCAGCCAAATTCTTCTTGTGATGTTTCCATATATCTGATACATCAGAAAAGCACTAGGTAGCACTTTCCCAATTTTGAGGGAGAATTTCGCAAAGAACTAACTGTTCTGAGAGTTTTTCATCTCATTTCCCCTACCAGCAAATTATTCCAGAGAACTTTCAGCTCACCACGCGAATTTCATCGCCTATCTGTCGCAGAGATTCTACGCATGTACATAAATCAAACCTTGTTCAGGATTCTAACCCGAGCCAGCCAATAAATCGAGGAGGATACCGCCAATGATCGTATAGTTTTAAGGAATACTGTCGTCAGCAAAACCATAGGAATTAAGATATTCACATTTATTAAAAACCACATTATGAGAAACTAAGCTCTTTTTGAGACAATTAATTGGGTTTGGTGATGAGAATTATTTTGGAATTTGATGCCAGTATTAGGTTTGTAAAAATATAAAAAGATGCTGAAAACTTCTTGATTATCGACTACTGTGAATAAGAAGAAATGCATTTATGTAACGTAAAATGTAAGAAAAAATGCAAAGGCTTAAAGAAAGTGATATCTTTCGAATCTGATTTATATTTCACTATAAATAGGAGTCCAAAATACACAAAATTATTAATGTTATAGCAGCTCTACCTTTGTATAAGTTAACTTCGGATATTGTCTCAGTCTCTATATAATAACAGGATTGAAAAATGCAGTCAGATAAAGAAATAGCTGTACAGAATTCCTACACTCCAAACCAATGAGGAGCCTAAGTTATTTCTTATTACTTCCTTGTACAAAGTAAAATACTTTAATCACGGAAAATTCCGGGTATCATATTTCAAAGAAAATATCCATTTTGACCGCTATCAAATGCAATTTAATGATGTTTTCGCATATACGTAAGGACAGAACAAAGGACTCTTTACTCCAAAATGAATTAAAAATATGATTTAAAATGGATTCAAAAGAGATTTTTCATGACATCCGTACGTACGTATGTATGCATCTCGCATAACTCAAAAATGAGTATCCTCAGAACTCGGCTCGGTGAGCTCAGTTCTTTTTTTTATTCTTATATATTAGTACATTGTGCATTTTCTATTTTAAAAATAATAGAATTATGTTGTTCTTACCTTCCGGTTAAATTTTCTATGCCTTTAGTTAATATGCATGCAATAGTTTTAGAATTAGCAACAATTTAAAAGTTGTTTAGTTACAGCTAAACCTAATTTTTTTACCAGAGCAGCCATATTTGTTTAAATTTGAAATTCAGCAGAATAGTGAATTAAGTCAGTTTCTGCACCTTCAGTGTCGTTTTGCTAATGGAACCAAAAGGAAACTTTTAATTTTGTGCGCTGAAAATCTGCCTTTTTGCCTGCTAGCCGAATTGTTTGGTTTTGCGTAGAAATGATATTTTTAATTCTATGTTTTTTTTAAATTGGTTTAACTGTATTTGGTGTTTTATGCTTTTCTACATCTTTCAGCTTTTAACGAAAGTTTATTGAGGTTCTTTTCTTTTCATTTTTGTCTTGCAGCTAAGTGAGAACTGAAGTAATTGATTGAGAAATCTATCTCTAATGAAATTCGATGAAATAAGTTTAAATGAAATGCATAAAAATATACGGATAATTTAATATTCCGGACAATGAAGTGATTTAGTGTCCGTATTAGATTTTTTAGAATGGGACGAGTGGAAAACACGTAACTATCAAAATTTTTGTAAACTTTATGCGGGAGCCCACCAGCGGCCGAGCGGTAGAGTCGCTGAACACTGGTAGTTCGGTCTGAGGTTCGAATCCCGCGAACGGGCTGGCTGCATGGGCGTTTTCGTGGTTTCCCATGTGTAACGTGTATACGATCCAGTTTCCCTTAGAAAGTCCTCCACGAAGGCATCCCTCCTCTTAGGCAGATAGCCCTCGAGGCTTTGCCATATTTACACACACACACACACAATTTAACCGGAAAAATCACAAAATATTCAAACGCGGTGTATTCAAACGCGGTGTAAACTTTATGCCAAAATATTTGACACTATGTTACTCAAATAAATGGATATACAGTAAAGTATTGAAAAATTAAAAGTTCCATTAAAATAAAGCATATTGTAAGGTATTTACAGAAATTTGAATCTCAGACATCATTTAAAATAAAATGCACTTTTGTGTGGCATATTTGATTCGGAAATTAAATTTTTACTTTCCTGATACCTTACTAAACGCTATTTGAAATGCATTAATGAAATTACTCATACAAGGAGAAATGCGAAGATAATAATTATAATTTAAACTTCCGAGGTTTTTTACTCTTTAAACGAACTAAAATAACCTCACTTACAGTAAACCTCAAAAGAATCCAGCAGCGAGTTGTCTTATATGTAAAATAAAACTAAACCTTAGTAAAAAGAAAATAAAAATCTTCAAGATTTTATATTATCCCCAAAAGTGCGTTTGTTTCATTTACGCACAATTACACACTTTTCATTTACATGCAGTACACTTCATTTACACTTTTCGAGAGCAACTGGGCTAATATCCCTTTAGGCTAAAATTATTTTAAAATAGCATATGTTTGGAATTTCAGATAGAAAATCTCACGCGCTGGAGATAAAAAAAAGTTTTGTTTTTTTGCGTACAGTGTTGCCGCTGCTCACTTTGAAATTATTGAGTTTGTTAATTAAAAATTCGCTAAAGTTTTAAAAAATATGAAACAGCAGTTCCAAATTCGGTCTTCCAGGTCTTCATATTGGGGTGGAGAACTTCGTTACTGAAAATTTGATGGCTCTAGGTACGATTGTTTTTACACAATGCGAGAAACATGCATACATTTATGTAGACCCTTCATCATTTAATTTCCTTAAACATAATGCAAGGCGATAAGATTTCGTGGC